TACTTTTCTCAGATCAATTTTTCTCAAGTTTCTCCTCAAAAATTCCATTGAATTTTGAACCAGAATTCCATTAAATTTATGGATACACCAAAAAAAATTATATTTTTACAATACTGAAATTCCTGCCCAGTAACATGCAGACATATAAAGCCCTCTTTAAACAGACATACAGGCACACACACTCATAAATACATGTATATAATCTTTTAATGTAACTATAACTAGTCCACCAGCTCCACAAGAATGAATTTCTTAAATCACGAGATCTTAGAGATAGAGGGATATTACAGATCGCTTAGTCCAATGCCTCTTATAATCCCAGTTATGTTTACCTCAAGCCTACTTAAGAGAATCACTTTAAAATTAAAATATACCTTTTACATTCAACATAATCATAAAAGCACTATTTGAATCACATAAAAGGCAGAGAAGTGGGCTACACTGATTGAAAACTGCTCTGAATTTAGGAATCCTTTAAAAAGGTAAGATGCATACTTGGGCTCAAAGGAAAAAACACTGAGTATCATAAGTGCATACACTGGAGACAGCCCCAGGTGCTTTTAGACATGCGTGTTTCCAAGGTGAAGTCATTTTGTTATGGTTTTGTCCAGGAACCAAACTTCAGAGTACCAAATTATTCCATTCCAAATTGTTCCATCATATTTATTGTTCATATTTATTAAGAACAAATCCAATAACAATCTCCAAATGAAACAAGCCTGAAACCCAATTCTAAATGTGTTTCTCAAACCTGGCTGCACATCTGACCACCTGTGGAGCTTCTAAAAATAACACTGCTTAGGTCCCACCTTGGGATTCTTCTTCAGCAGGCCCAGCAATGCGAGAGCATTTCTTTCTTTTTGTATTTTTTTTAAAGCCAGAGTTAAAACACAACTATTCTAAACAAACAAACAAACAAATGAACAAAAAACACTATTCTAAAATATTTAATAAGACCAAAGCCCCATAACACACACATTTAAAAAGTATATTTACCTCTTCACCGGCCCAGCAACATTTACTGCTGATTATCTATGGAGCTATGTCCCTATGACCAAAGTCTTAAAAACAAACAAAAAATACTAAAACAAAGCTTTACTGTTCAGATATGTGATGCCATTATAATATTTGAAGCTCCTTTTTCTTCTTTCTCCCTTGAAGGCAATCCTCTACCCCAAAAGAAAGGGAAGCTGATATTCCCTTTAAAAGTCACAAATACCATTAAGATCTTAAGCAATTCCTCTTTTACTTTGTAAAACAGAAGGGTGAAAGCATAGTCATAAGAAATATAAATAAAAAGGGAGATTAGTGATTTAGCTATGACATAAGTTGAAAATTCAAAGAACTATTGCTTCTAGACTGCAGAGAACTGCCAACACACTTAAGCACCCTCTAAATGTAGCACAAGAGCAAAGAAAGGCTAATATATTGAAGGAAAAACTTACATACAACAATGCAACATGCAAACTAAATCAAAATGTTCCTAAAGTCTAACCCTCCAAGAAAATGATCTCACTTCCTAATAACAACACATTGTACTGAATTAAGGCCCAGTGGGACTCATATTCCCAGTATGAGTGACTCATATACTTGTTACCCCTAGGAAAAGCACCTGCAAAATAGAACACATATGGCTACAAAGGAAGTTACATGTTAATTATGAGGGTAAAAGATGCATTAAATAAGCCCAGTAGTGCTATGCAAAGAAGGCATCCCACAGACTACCTTTCCATGCTCCAATTTTGGCCCAGCCAAAAATACTTTCCTACGTTCTGCAAAGTTTTTTGGTGAAAGAGATGTCCAGATTTTCCATCTTGAAAAGAAAGTCAACATGCATAGAAGTTTACCGCCTTACTATAAAGGCAAACTAAATTTTCTTAAGCACTGTGCTTTGTCCAAGCTGAAGTCAAATAATTTTACATTTAAAAAACAAAAGCATGTGAAGAGACAGGTACTCATGCTTTAGTGGAATCAGCTTTAACTATGTACTACTTCACCAACTTCTTTTCTTCTGTGGCCCAAGTCAATGGTATAATTCTTAGATCTTAACCTTTATATAGCATGACCACATAAAATAGCAAAATTCAAGTAATTAATATGAATAAGAAAACAATTGTAACCCCAAAGGAGCTGCAGTAAAAACTGAGATGATGTATGTTTATACACACTGACAAGTAATTTGCCAAGAGATTAAAACAAGAATAAAACCCTTTCTCCTAAGCTTCCCATGTGAATTTCTATTCAAGCCACATGCCTAGCAGGTATTAAAGAGCAGACTCTGCTCCTGCAGTTTTTCAAGCACAACCAGCTTGTTGGAAAAAAGATAAAAATAAAATCCTTCCTCCTCAAGAAGTATTTCCTCTGAAGTATTGCTATGTTAGAATAAATAACTTCACTGAATTAGCATCTCTTTTAAAACATTATACTTTTAAACTTATTGAAATATTTAGACATATATTCTAATCTTGGGGGGGAAAAAAAAAGACTAAAATAATGCAGACAATATAATCACGTGCACCTTTTAAAACAAACCAAATAGCCTGGCAGGAGTAGCTCAGTGGTGGAGCGTTGACCTATGAACTAGGAGGTCACTGTTCAAGTCTGGTTGGGGCACATGCCCGGGTTGTGGAATGATACCCAGTGGGGGTGTGCAGGAGGCAGCTGATCAATGAGTCTCTCTCAACACTGATGTTTCTCTCTTCCTCTCCCTTCCTCTCTGAAATCAATAAAAACATACTTTAAAAAAACACACACACACACAAAAACAAATGTGTGTGTCTGTGTCTGTCTGTGTGTGTATCTGTAGATCTTGAAATATCAATGAATATCTGGGAAAATAATGCACTGCCATTTTAAACAGCCATAAAAGCTAAATTTACACTTAAAATGCACTTGTCAGTTTATTCCAAAATCTGGACTTCTATTCTGCCCAAATACAATTAAGATTTAGGTCGGTTGAGGGAAAATTACCCTACCTAAAAATTTTGTGAAACTGAACTCCAATTTCATTATATCTCGAAAGCTTACTTCTAATAAATAGCTAGGGTGGATTACATTAGAAACAATTCTCTCAGGAATTTTAACCTGACACCAAGTTTTTGATTGCCCACACTTAGCAATCTAAGTCATGGAAAGAGATAAGTGACTTCAGCTTGTTCAGTTATTAAATACATGCTGTTAAAGTTTGCTGCTATTTCAAAATCTTTCTCTTCTCCATAGTTTTTGTCCCTCTCCCCCTATATTCCTTTATACCTTATCAAGCTGGAAGAAATCACAATAGGTATCCCCAATATCGAACACAGTACCTTAGATTCACTATTGAGTTTATGGGTGTTTTAAGTTTAGATTTCAAATTCAAAATATTTTTCAAAATTGTACTTCACCACAAGCTATGCTCAAAATAGCTAAAAGTCAACTACTTTTTTTTTTTCCTCCTATTTCATTCCCCCCTCTCCTTATAAATTTATCAACAGGAAACAAATTATCTACAGAAAATATAGCTAGAAAAAAGGCTGCTTGGTTCAATTCAGGAACACCAATAAACAACCCTGGGTGGACCAGGAAGCCACTTACATGTCTTCTATTCAGAATTTGCATGTAAATTTCATGGGACAGAGTTCTTACAGTCACTTTCAAGATTCCACTAACTCAATCCCATGCTTTCTGAAACATTTTTTTTTTTTTTTTGGAAATTCTGAACAGAGATCTGCACAAACATTCAAAAGACATGAACTTGATCTTAGTTATCTAAAATACTGAGCACCTAAAATCTCCTACTAGGTGGAGGAGTCAGAACAATCAAGGCAAAATGTCTTCTCACAGAAGCAATCTACCTCAAGAGCTCTGTGTAATTCATCCTCAATGCGATTTTTTTCTCTCTCTTGAAAATGCTCTTATCTACAACTCACTGTTCCCAAAATACACTCAAACTGATTTAAGTTTGAGAGCACAGATTTACCAAGATTTTAATAGGATCATTTCCTTAGTTTAGCCATGTAAGGCTGCTGGCAGGAAGCACATCTGCAAATGGTGTTTGAGGGATTCACCTGGCACACGGGAAATTTACAAAAGGGTTTTGAAAGTGCTGCAGGGCCAAGCTCAGGGCTTGTGGAGATGCACATCACCTACACACTGGCCTGGCTACCGAAACCGAGCTTCCATCGGAATAGGTGTCTGGGTGGCTGATTTTCTGGAGGTGAGAATTAAAAACAAACGCTTACACTCATCGCACACTACACAATTCTACCTGTCACTAAGAAAAGGGCACGTCTAATCCAGAGAGAGAGAAAAAAAAAGTCATTTTTTTTCCTTCAAGGAGGGCAGCGGTTTGGAATCATTTGCTGGGGATGGGATTGCAGGAAGGGGGAGGGGAGGGGGCGTGGAAGAAGGGAGTGCTAAATAAAGAGGCAGCAAGGGGGTTTGCACAGGGCCCCACACAGGCCACTGCGGAGAGAAGTCGGGGGAAGAGGGGAAGATGTCTCACCGGGGGACAAAACCGAGTGCAAACCGGCTGGAGGAAGGAAGGTTCCCACCACCACCACCACCACCACCACCACCATCACCACCTCGCCCCAGGAGAAGAGCTGGGGTGCAGATAAAAAGCTCCAACGGCTGGTTATCTTAAGATCCAGGGGAAAGGGACAACGGGGATGCCGAGGTCTACAGAGATGGGGGGAGGGGAAGGATGAGGCAGGGTCTCTCTGCTAAGTGCGAACCAAGGATGCAGACAAACAGCAGGACTTGGGCCTCCCTGGGCCAAAAGGCGTGGTCAAGGTTCCATCCAGATAAAAAAAGATGGGTCTTTTGGAGATGCCAGGGGGAAGTGCGCGTCCAGCCCCTCCTTCAAGACCCCGGGCCCGGCGCGTCCGAGGGGCCCACCTGCGAGGCACCCCGAGGGCGGAACGCGCCCCCCTAAGGCCCTGGCCTCGCCCCGAGGGGGCCCTTTCGCAGGACCGCTGGCCAAGCCCCCGCCCCCATCTCCATCCCCGCAGTGCTCTTACCTCCACACCTGCCCCATCTGCAGCAGGTGGATGACCGACTGCCAGATCCACACGGAGAGGCGGCAGAGGCGCTGCGCCCCCGGCGTGGCCGAGCCCCCCGCGCCCGGGCCGCCGCGGGCCGCGCCGTGGCCGTAGCCGGCCCCCATCATGGGGGGACCCCGGCTGCTGAGCCCCTCCACGGCGCCCAGCCCGCCGCCCGTGTAGTCCTGCACGAACCAGCGGAAGCTCAGGCTCTGCACCAGCAGCGACGGCACCAGCACGAAGAAGAGGGTCAGCCCGAAGTAGGTGTAGTCCCCCTTGCGGTAGTAGTCGAGGGCCAGCCACAGGTCGGTGCCCACGTCCCCGAAGAAGACCAGCAGCGCCAGCACGATCCACAGGCAGTCGAGCCACGGCCGCTCCACCTGCGGCGGCGGCGGCCGCGCGGCCGAGGGCGTCGGGGGGTGGCGGTCGGCGCCGGCGGCCCCGGGCGGCTGCAGCGGCTGGTCCCCCCCGTCGGCGGCGGCGGCGGCGTTGCGGCGCGGCTTCTTGCCCAGGAGGGAGCGCAGGCAGGCGGAGCGGCAGCCCCAGTAGCACGAGGAGGTGTTGCAGCAGTGGCAGATGTGCAGCGAGCTGCTCTCGCCGGGCTCGCTGCCGTCCCCGCCGCCGCCGCCGCCGCAGCCGCCTCCCCCGGGCTCCCCGTCCTCCTCGCCGCCGCTGCCCACCGCCTCGTCCAGGTTGTGCAGCTGGGCGAAGCCCACCCCCACGCCACCGCCATCGGATTTCGCCGCCATCTTGACTCTCTTCCCAGCTCCGGAGGTTGGGGGGGGGAGGGACGGGTGGGGGGAAAAGAAGGCAGGGAACGGGGAGGGGGGGAGAAACGAATGGAGAGGAAGGGGGGCGGGGAGGAAGCGGGGGAGCTAACGAACGAGGGGGGAGTGGGCCGGGGAACCCCCTCCGCTTCCGGGTAGTCGGCGTCACTTCCGGGCGAGCCCCCCAATCACACGGCGCCCGTAGCTCCCCAGCCCTACCCACCCGGCCAAGATGGCCGCCCTCCTATGCCTCAGCTGCTGGGCGGGGGGCCGGGGGGTTCTCCCCGCCAGGGCTCCCCTTCCCCTCTTCCGTTGACCCCGAAACCCATCAGGTTGACCCCTCGGCGTTTCTGAACCCCGCTGGGACGAGTGAGGCGGTCCAAAGTGATCCCTGGAGGGGGCAGTGCCAGACGTTTTGGGGTCCCCTTCCTCAGCGTCGCAGCTCACAGCTTTCTTCCCGGAGAAACGCCCCCTAACACCCTCCCGGCCGCTGGCGGAGGGGCGGGATTTCTGGAGGAAGGGGCGGAGCTAGTGCAAAGCAGGTGATTACGTGTCACTTCCGGGAGATAGGATGACCTCATTGTATAGTTAGACACCCCCCCTCCCCATCAGAATGGTTATGTCTCACCTCTTTGGCTGTTTTGTGTGTGTGTTTCTTTCAAAAGTACCTTTTATTCTTTTCTTGTTTGGGGGTCTTTAGAAATTACAGAAGTCAGTTTAGATTCCTACTCACAACATACTGATTCTCACTTCTATTTAAATACCTCCTTCCTCTTTTTACCTCTGTTGACCCCCAGATTTTCCTGTCCCTGACAACTTAACCATCTTTTGTAATAAAGTTTTCACAGTTCCCTTAAGAAAACTCCAGGCAAAATCCAGTTAAACATCAGCCTGATTGCATCTTGAGTGTTGGAGCAAAGATTGAATTGGCACATTGTGACCTTGAGTGTATCATCTTCCCCCACTGATGTATTTCTATCAACTTTTTTTTTAAGTATGAGATTTTAAAATTCTGTGACTTTAATTTGGAAAATTTAGAACTAGCAAGGGGTTAAGCTGTATCAATAACTTTTCAGGCTATTTGAATGTGTGAAGATTGCCTTTTAGAATTTTTGGTGCTAAGGCTCTGACAGTAAACATAGCTTTAAATGAGTGAAAATGTTATCAATGTGCTATGTCATTAAAATAGGTGCAGGGTAAACTATTTAATCTTAACAAATTACAAAGTGAAGCAGCACTGAATGGATTTAAATTATAATAATCTTTCAGTGAAAGTATATTTACAGAAAGTACCCACTGAGAATTTTTACACCAGTCATTTGCTTTGGGGGGTAGAGGAATAATTCCAAAATCTTTTGGATACAAGTCATATAGCTGTAGCCTTTTATTTCATGCTATGATTTAAGCCTCTTTTTCTATGGTAGTAATACTTCTAGCCAGCTGGAAAGGGTTATTTCTGCATATAGATGGGGTTCTATTTCTTTCTTTGCTGAATTTGAATTAACACCTGAGAAAGATGGCATAAACATACAGTAGGATTGCCCTGGGTTGGATCCCAATTCCACAGAAATAATGTGAATGATGTGAGCAAGAGAGTTGACATCTTTAAACTTCAATATCCCATGTTATGTAATGGAAATAATAATAGGGCTTTCTTTGAAAAGTTTTTGGACAAATTAAAAGTGGTAATCCATTCAAATCTCTCACCATGATACTTGATAGATAGTAATAGAGAATAAACACTAAATAAATGGTAATTGCCATTATCATTATTGTTATTATTATCACTATTGTTGTTAATATATTAGCATAATACCAACATATAGTTGCTTAAATTGTATCATTCAAATTTAGTATCTCTAATAAATGAAAGTATTTTTAAGTAAGTATAGGAAATAAATACAATTAATTTGTGTTTTAAAATATATTTCCTCCATTTAAGCCTGTGAGGCTACGAAATGAGATTCAAAAGCAAGTAGTAATGGCATATTTATGAGTTATATTTCTCCCTGCCCTAAAAGAACATAAACTACTAATGAAATTAGTTAAGTAAGTTACACACACTCTATAAGGCTGACTAATGAGATTGAATCAAAAGTACTTTCACAATTGAAGTTTCAAGTAGATTTATAAGAATCACAGACTATCAAGTGATTTCAACTTCACATTTGCTGTTTCAACAATTTTATACTGCATTATTGGGAAGTGATACTCTGTAGAACCCAGGAGGTTCTAAAATTAAAATATCTTACAATGATAATACAGCTATCATGAGACTCACTGAAAGGTTAACATAAATTTGGACTGTGTGATGGATGAATGGTACTTTATTTTTTACCTGGACTTTTGGAGCAATTAAGTATTCCAAGTAAGTTCATTACTTAGCACAGTACTGAACACTTCATGGGCTCTCAATAAATATTGGTTACATGAATGAATGAGTTGATTAAATTAATTTTCCAGATAACTGAAATTTACCCTTCCAAGTGTCCACCCAAATTGTATTTTATACTTCATAAAACCCATTGATGTATTAGAAAGATACCTCTATTTAGTAATAAGGGGTGTGGTGAATTAATAAAAAGAAATGCATTGCCCAAAGGTCTGCTTTCTTAACAGCACAGCAGTTAACCTTTTCTTGATGACTTGACTTTAAGGTGGTTTTATGCTAAGAACCTCTAATTCCATGGGCCTGCTAAGGAGCCGCCCCAGGCCTACTAGACACATTTGTTGTTGTTTACAAATAATTTTTTTAATCTCTGCTTTTCATAGTGCAGTCAGTTAACAACTTTGACCCTTATTCCACTCAGATATAGGCTGGGAAGCCAAACTATAAATATATAAAATAACAGTCCATTTTTAGAGCCTCTTCCATGAGTAAAATAAGACAGATACAATATATGGAAATTGTGGCATAGATTTTGGTTGTTTAGAAAAACCTTTGGGGTTTTTCTTCCCAATTCTCTGCTATTTTCAGAACAGCAAAGAGCGGAAAATTAGTATTGAATCCTATTATATATTATACACAGCCCCAAATATTATTCCAAAATTCATGGAGATTAGTATCTCCATATTAATGGTCTAGAAAAGAGCCTTGAGTCTACCAAATAACTTAGGTAGAGTCACATCCATGGGAGGTTTAATTCCAAAGCCTAAACCATTGCCCCGGGCCAAGAAGTTACTCTCCCCTAGAAATGAAGTCAGTGTTACTGTATTAGTACTGGAGAGACCCAATTATGATGGATGATAACATATCTAGGAGACAGAAAACTTGAATTCCAACATGAAAATTTGCCCTAGCAAAAGCATTACAGAGGGGCTTCCTCAAACGTTCTTCACAGGGTTTTCCTAATGTGAGCCTGAGTAAAACCTCAAAACCATCAGGGGCATGTCATCCTTATCAATTTTATTCCTTGTATCATACTGTCTTCTATAGAAATAGGACTTCTTTGAGCACTGCAGAGTAAGCTCATAGAACCTATTATCCCTTGAAGCTCCATTTCTGTATTTGATGTTAAGAAATGAAATTTCAGCAAGCACTCTCATATATTCCTGCTGGTGTTACAAAATGGCACAATTTCTATTGAAGGAAATGTCGCAGTACCTGTCAAAATTAAAAATGCAATCACTCTCTAAGACAGCAGTCCCTCTTATGGGAGTTTATAAATATGTATATGTCCAAAGTTACCTATGGTCAAGGTTATTCATGTAGCATTGTTTACAATAAAAAGTGGGGGGAAGGAGAAAAGAAAACCAAGTATCAATCCAAAGGGAAACTAGTTGACAGTATACTATGCAGTGATATTGAAATTTTATAGTTTTCTTTTTAGTGATATAGAGAGTTTGCAGGATATTTTGTTATAAAAAAAAAAAAAAAAAAAAAGAGTGAGGCTTGCCCTGGCCGGTGTGGCCCAGTTGGTTGGGTGTGATCCTGTGCACCCAAAGATTGCTGCTTTGATTCCCAGTCAGGGCACATGCCCTGGTTTTGGGCTCAATCCCCGGTGTGGGGACGGGTGCAAGCAGCAGCCAACTGATGTTTTGCTGTCACATTGATGTTTCTCTCTCTCTCTGTTTTTCTTTCTGTAATAATAAATAAATAAATAAATAAATAAATAAATAATCCACTTTTTAAAAAGAGCAATGTGCAAAGCAATAAAGCACTTTCTGTAAGAAAGGGGGAGGGTAAATTTTCCTTGGGAGGAGAACCAAAATGGCAGCCAAAAGTAGGTAAATGCCAATACTCACCACCTCCCACAACCACATCAAAATTACAACTAAAATACAGAACAACCATCATTCAAACAAGCCTGAAGTCTGGCTTAATGGAAGTCCTGCAACTAGAAAAAGAAAGAAGAAAGTATGTCAAGACTGGTGGGAAGGGCAGAGGCACAGAAAGGGCTGGCCCAACACTCACATGTGGTGTGTTTTTAATCAGGAGGGAAAACTCCATGGCAAAGGCCTCCCATGAGAAGTAAATGGTTCCAGCCCCATACAAGACCCCCGTCCCTGTAACTTCAGGTTATAAAAACCAACGAGACTTGTGGCTGAGTGACACAGAGGCTACTGGAGACCCTTCTGGGGATTCCTTCCTTTTCTAGATATAGAGGCTGCCTGCATGTTCCTTTTCCATCTTCAAAGGCAGCAATTGCTTCACCTCTGTGTCTGTCATCACAGCTCTTCTTATAACTGATGCTCCTTTCTTCCTGTTCCCCTTATAAAACCCCAACCAGATCACCTGGGATAATCTTCCCCATCTCGAAATACTTATTTTAAATACATCTGCAACATCTTTTGCCATGTAAGGTAACATATTCACAGATTCTAAGGATTAGGATGTGGCCATATTTCAGGGCTGTTATTCTATCATTCTCTATAACTTCTTCCTGATAAGCAAACCTGAGCTCACCATCCCTAGCCTTCAAATTGACTCTGTCCTCCAATTTTCTGACGGCTATGATACCAGCCTCACTTGGTTATCCCAGAGCTCTAGCTGATGACTCACTAACTCCAAGATCAGTGAGGCAGAATGAATTTAAAGAGCATTTTGTGTATAATTCCCATGTTACAGATGAGGAATATGAAGTTGCGCTTAGAAACATTTATTTAAAGTCACACTAGTTCACATTAATTCAAGGATTAGGGCTTAAATTTCCTGATATCCGGGCCATGACATTTAATACAACATAGTGTGGATTGTGCTGATTCACATACTTTTTAAAGTTGCATAGATCATTCATTTTCAGATTTTGCTATCTCCTTATTTCTATTTCTTAATGACAGGAACACTGAGCTTAAATAGTAAAAGGCAAAAAGTAGTTTGAGTTTCAGTGACACAATTTACCAGTTCTATGACTTTATAGAAATCTGAATTAAATCTCAGTCCTCAGGTAGAATAAGAATATTAATATCCATCCTACCTCTCTCTAAAGCTTATTGTAAGAACTGGTGGGTTCATTGGGTGCTTTAGAAGTCATAAGGAGATGTAAAAAGTATAAGGAACTATTTTTATCCTTGACTTCATTTACCATTTAGCCTACTT